AGGTAAAAGTCCAGGGAAGAGGACAAAAGCAAAACAAAACACAGCAGGAACACTGGATAAAATTCAGGAGGTGGCGAGATGAATAACAGGGGGGGGAATAATGAAAAAATAAACAGACCAAAAAGGATTTGGGGAAAATAGACAAAGTTAGCCTTTTAATAGGTTCACAAGTTTGCTTTAACAGCAGGCTGCAGAGCGTAGTCATTCAGTTAAGTCTTAAAACAAGACTAACTAAAACTCTTTAAACCCCTCCTTTTATACCATGGGGTGACTTGGCCCCTCCTGTTAAGAAGCTAAAACATTTCCATTTTCCATCCGAATGATGACACAGCAGTATTACAACACGGTAGGCAAATATAAAATAATAAAATATACACATATAAGTAGGACAGATTTTTTTCAGTGAAATAATTAAGATTACACCTTCCCTCTCTAATATAATATTAATATAGTATAATATTATCGGCAACTTCAAGACACTTTTTTAATGTTATGCTGAATAATGTTATCTTTTATTAGTTATATTTGGTAGTTTAAACTCCTCCTGAGGTAGTGAAGATATACACCCTCTTTGGTTTGAGTGCTGTGTGCCCAGTTTGTAATGGCAATTTGTAATGAAACTAATGCCCCATTAACCTAAATTTCTCTTGCTATAGTAGATTTGAGAAGACTACAGCCAAGGGGTTTGCTCCTGAACTTTAGCCTCACTGATTTATAGAGATTTTGTTTTGTAAACATTGGTTTTAGTCTTGGACATTCAGAGTTGCTCAGGAAAAGGCCTGACTTCACATACAGTACAATACACTATGTCTTTACAATAATCAATCTGAAACTGTTTTCATTAATATCACTAATATGTAATACCGCGGTAGCCAGTTTCTAATGAGATGCTTTAAGGGTTGCGAGGGGTTACATGTTTAATAGTGAATTTATCAAAATAATTAAGTTGTAAATAGATACTGTTTTCCTGATTCTTGTTCACATATGTATTTTATTAGGAGCTGACAAGAAGCTGAAAGGCTCAAGATTGCATATTAAGTTCAATTATGTACGGTAGCAGTAAGGGCAAGTAGAACTGAAATCAGAAGACATGGATATTTGCCCCAGGAATCAGATTTGGAAACTTTTCCTCACATGTCTCCTGGGGATACTGTACATACTGTACTAGGACAACATCTATTTAACATTGACTATCTATTGGCAAAATCTTCAGACATTATGGTGTATTCTGCTATGTTAATGCTAGATGCATTAACATGTATTTGACTCTTTCTAGCCTTTATTATTGCTCTACCCTGTTTTCTGTGATTTCTAAGACTACACTGACCAAATTGCAGTTTTTAAAGCACAGCATGTAGAATCTTGAGTCTCAGTCTGATGTTCACATTACCTCTACTATAGAATCTTTGCACTGGCTTCAAAGCTGAGTCTATAATTGGCAATAAAAATCTACTTAAGATTTTCGAGACATTGAATGGCATGTTTTTCTCTTTCATTTCATCTTCAATCTTTGCTGGTTTGCTGAATGTCTCTTAACTGTCCTCAAGACCACACGGCAGACCACAGGTCATGAAGCCTTCATTGTCTATGCAACCTAATTGGAATGCATTTCCAAATAGTATTAGAGAAGTGACTCATTTCATTATTTTCCACCTAAAAACATTTGTTTGCCTTTTATGAATATTTATTTTTATGCTTTTTTTCCAGTGTCATTATGTCCAACACTTTTGGATGTCATTGAATGGTACCTCAGAAAAATAAAGTGGATTGTTCTTATTACTTGAAATAATTTTCATAATTGTGTGCATAATCATTTTAAATTCCCACATGTCAACTCCAGCAGGCATTTTAGCCCTTTCTAAATGTCTAGAAAGAAGGGAAAATACTGTTCTGTTCAATGTTCTGTCTACATTTTGTTCCATATAATAACAGTATAAGTTTGTGCTTCTGCATTTTTTGTTATTCAGTCCTTAAAATCAGGTTACACAGATGGAAGGCCGAAGACTATAACAACTTATTTTGTGAACACTGGATTCATGTTTTATCATTTTTGTATTATAGACTCCAACATTGTAGATATAGATTTGCTGCATGTGATTTAATATTATTGGTACTTAGCTCGGCTTTTCATATGAATGAAAGACTTTTGCAACATATTTGCAAGACCTGAGTACACCATCATAAAAATGAAATTAAACTTTTATTTTTCACTCCAAACCACAGTTTTGGATTAGATATATGGAAACTATGAAAGAGAACAAACAAAAGATAATTTTTTCCCTTATTAATGAAAGGGTCCTTACGAAAGAGAAAATAGAAAAAAGCTTTCAGAACTTAATGATGAGCTTCATTTTATGATATTATTTATTCCTTTGTTTTGCTAAATTACACAGGGAGGCGTATTTACCTAGAATAATAATTACCACATTAACAAGGGTGTCCGAGGAATCGATCTTTTGTTCCCCAGAAGAGTGAGAGTTAGCAATAGTCATCAGCAGCGACTGACAGCACGCATTTGTGAAAGGTCATATTTAAATACTGAATAATGCAAAAGCTTTACAAATGTTTCACAAGAAACAAATATTAGACTTTATTAGACGTTCTGCTTACAACACATGTCGTAGCTATTACTGTTTCCGTTTAGTCTTTAAAGTATTAACGCGTACATCCAAGCATTATTTTAATTACAAGTACACCGCATTAAAAACGCTTCAGCACCGCGGACAGCTCCCCCCTTTACAACATATAAAGCATAACTGTAGCACCAATGATTAATTCACAGAAGCAAAGCGCAAGTGTTTTCAAGCGATGTTTCTTATTCCAAAAATTAATACGCTAGGGAAGTCATGTAGAAGGAGAAGAAGGTAAATTGTGTATGCTTTTGAAAACTAAAAACGCTACCTATTGTACCTACTGTACTATCAGTAGGTATTTCTGTCACCGAGAGACCATGGGTATGTTATACCTCAAAAAGTTTTTGCAGTTTAAAATGCCCTAGATTTTACATTTAACAAACTTTTATTTTGGTGAATTACTTCGTGCATCATAAACTAATGTTGTTCGAAAAACGGTGGTTATTGTCTAACGATCTTAAAGTTATTGTACGTCAGTCTTTATTTCTTCTTAAATATCTCGGAAAAATGTATCTTGTCATTCCTAGTTCTTGTGACTCACAGTCCCTGTATTAGCAACTTTTTATCTTTCTGTAGGTTGCCAGTCTTTAGCTCTTGGCTTACGCAGTTACAGGCTGTCTCATGGGCTAAGGTTTGTCGAGCCCTCCGGGAAAGTAGAGGTGAAATCTCCTCTTCACAGTAACCTTCTAAAAGCAATCATAAAGTCGACCGCATTTCACTGTCACTTCAAGACGGTCTTTTTACCGGCAAAATCTGATATCGCTTGTATTTATGTTGTGCTCAAACGGTGTCGTCCAATTTACAAGCAGTTTATGCACCTGCACTGACGTCAAAGGAGCTATCTTGGATGTATATAAACATTCTGCAAGGAGCTTTCGAGTCAAATCGCCATCAAGCAGGACTTTTCAGAGATCTGGGTGGTATATCTCCAGCCCAAAAGACACTTCTGACAACGTTTAATAAAGTAAGTAGATTTTTTTTCCGTTTATACTTATTTCGAAAGTAATACGTTTGTTAACTTGCAAAAGGTTTAACTCTCTCTATCAATTAAAAAAAATTAAACCGAGACGTAAATATTTATATAATTTGTGACCTGTGTTATATACAGTACCTTAATTTTTAATTAGTTTGAAAAATTGAATGAAAAAGAAACTTAAGCTTTCTAAAATGCTTACCACTGCCAACTAAATACAATATCTAGAAGAAACACCACAAATGAAAATGTTTATTCCATCTAACCCAGTAGAAAAGAATCTCAATTAACAGTAAAGAGCTGTCCAGGAACTAAAAGTGAAAGGCGAAACAATTTTCAAATGATTCAGTCTTACACAGGAGTTGTCTGACAAAGTTCGCTTGTTATGCTCAGTGTGATAACTACAATGTAATATAACGCACTTTTCTTTTTACTTTAGGTCTATAAAATACCTTGCATTAATTTATTGTATTTGCATTTCATTGTAACAGTGAACTTTAATACTTGATATTCAGTCTTGATTCAGAACTTTAATACTTGATCCATGAATAGGCATTTGTAGTTGCCCAAGGAATATTCTTGTTTTCCATGTTCATTATTTATAAATACGATTAAACATATATTACAGAGTTAAATAATGAACTGTTTAACGTGAAGGATTGTTCTCTAGTAGCGATGCACTTTGTTTATGTTTTTTTCTGGTGCCTATTTGGGAAAAATGATTGCATTTGAAAATACTTAGCTTCAGTTTTAGCGGTATGGAATGTTTTTAAGGTAAAAGTGAGATATTTTTCGTTGCACTTTATCAAACTAACAATAGATCATGATATGTGTAAGTAATTCTAAAGTTGTATTATACCACGACATAATTTAACTTTTTACGAGTTGTTTTTTTTTCTGGACCGTTGCGTTAGACATTCATTCATAATGCACTTCAAAAAACGGAAAGGCACAGAATGCAATGTTTTGTTTTGTCTTAAATTAGTATAGTAATATAGTAATTCCTCACCCTGATCCTGTGGAATAGTTATGTCGTTCACTTTTTGTTCTTAATCACAGGCTAATGAGTTCATGATTTGTAAAATGCTTACAGGTCTTAAAGTTTATGCTGGGTTTTGTAATTGGTACCAAGTCAGTCAAAACTGTTGTTATTCAAGTATATTGCCTAAAAGTTAACCAGATGGATCTCTGCTGAAGCAAAATAAGAAAAGCAATCATTCTGGGAGTGTATGATACATTGTCAATACCTCCTATGTCTGTTCATCATATGAGCCAGATATAAGTTACGTTTATAATTTATAGCTATATGTTTATCACCCAATTGCTGGAAACAATGTACTTGAAGTAGGGAGTAAACCAAGAGTCTAAACAGGCAATCAAACCAAGTAAAGGGATCAGTGAGCATCAGATGGTGCATTGGTGAGTCAGAGCTCAGTTGGAGCAACCTCCAAGCAGGTTTGGAAACCAGCAAACTAAAGGCATTCACCCTTATTTTATTAAGTCAAAGTTTGTATTTCTCTTTTTCCTGCTGCAGGACTTTATTATTCAAGAGTCATCCAGTATGAAGACAACTCCTCTGGTCCTGTTTATTGCCACCATACTCCTCCTATCACACATATCTCCCAGTGTCTGCCGTCCACGTGACATGAATGTCTTTGATGGTCACGGTATTAAGAGCCAGCTTGATGAAGTCTTGCTGAAGGCTGGCGACAACGCAGTTTCCTACCTCATGGGAGAGAAGATACTGAGGTATTTGCAAAAGAACCCGAGGTTCCAAAAGAGTCTCGCTCAGTTGCCACCAGACTACTACCAGCTTGTGAGCCCATTCTCCACAGAGGGCCTGGGTCACCTGGCACGCATGTTGCCACTCTTGGACAGCGAGCGCTCAGACGACCAGACAGAGATGTTCAAGCGATCTGAAGACCCACCAATCTCCATCGATCTCACATTCCATCTTCTAAGAAATATGATCGAAATGGCAAGGATCCAAAGCCAGAAGGAGCAAGCTGAACTCAACCGCAAATATTTAGATGAGGTTGGCAAGTGATAGTTGAAATTGTCAGCATAGAAAAACAGAAAGGTTCTCACCAGTAAGTGAACAGCCCCTGCACTTCCAGATCCATGTCCACAAAGATTTGTGTTTATTGGGTAAACCATAAAATTCCATGTCATTTGTATTATTTTATATGCTGACCTTTGACATACCATCTTTAGAGAGCTGGTTATTATGAAAATTAGTGTGATACGATTTTCCATCTTCATATCTGGTCGTGGACATATCATGGAGACACATACCTGTACTCCAGTTTAAGAAATGGAAACATACATTATACATTGCATTCCACCAATAAGAACAAAGACTAAGATCATGACTGCTGATAATATTCCCAAAAAAACTTAGTTGGAAAATTTTAGACAGTTAGACAGTCTCAGGCCCCTTGGCAAGGTGTTCAGCCTTGATGTTTATGTGATTGAAAATGTGATGATGAAGTAAGTTTGTTATTATTAATGCATGCAATGCTGGGTAATTTGAGGAAACATCAGCAATTACAATGATTGCGTAAAAAGGGGGGGCTGGTTAGATGAAAGTATTGTTCTTAAGCTTTAAATCCACCTTACCCCCATTTGATTGTAAAGGGCAAAAGTTAAAGTAAAGGGAAATAAATGAATAAAGGATAATTGTATTTCAAAACCACCTCTTTTATATTTGTACGTTATATTTCTACAAACATATTATGCTTCGTGTAACCTCTTTTTCTTGAAGTGTCTACAGTTTAGCTGGTTTCCAAAAACCTAGCTCCCTAGAACTTTTGACTTTGATCTCAACATGTTCATTTGCATTGACAAACTCCTTTATAAGCCTTGGATTTTATTTCTTTAAAATATAAGAAATATTAACATGCACACAGACTATGTGTACTTTGTAAATCAGGCTCTGCGGTTTCTTAGTCTCTCACTTTAGTATTACATTACATGGTCCAAGAATATGGTGAAAATGAAAGAAAAGGTTGGTCTTACAAGTACAGTTAATTGCGTCACGGACAGCAATTTTTGCCACTCAGTAGGAGCTTTTCACCTGAAGGAGGTCTGGTGGAAAAATGCTTATGTGATGAAATGAAAATGTAATAAGTAAGCTTATTATTAATGCATGCAAACTATCTTGCATTATCTACTGTATATTGGAAGAAATGTGCAAATCGGTGTTGAAGTTCCACTATTTCATTGTGAGAAAGGTGGTGAAAAACAGTCTCTGGCTACAAGGACTGCACTCTTTGTTCCTTAGAGTAAAATCTATATGAAACCGTTGCTGAAGGCTATAAGTGTTTCCAGAATGAGGATAAAAACCTTTTTTCTATATTTAGAAAAATCTACAGATCATCTCCATTTGTCTCAGGATTACATGTATTTTTGGAAATGCAATTTGAGGCTTATTCAAGCCTGATCTTATTTATACAAAACACCCACCTTCCTTAGAATGAAAGGCACTAGTGGGTTTCATGGAATAACCAGGTATAATGTTTGCCATTCACAATGGGAAACTCATCCATCTTATCCTTGAGTTATGATGACGAAATCTAGCACCCACTCTGTTCTTTATCAATCCTTCTGTTCCACCTCCAAGAGACAGGTTGTCTGTATGTCTTTGGGAATTGAACACGTTTGTATTGTATTGGGCATGGTGCCTGGTGGTGCCTAGGGCTTCATGGTGAGAATTTTATATTTTTCTTGAACAAAACTATTTCAGACACCATCTCCCTTATACCCAGTGTCATTACCTTTTCATTAGACCAATGCACTTTTCAAATGTCTTTAAGAAGCATGCTTGTGATGAAAAGAAAAACCGTTTGTGAAATGTTTTACTGAATCATAATAAATAGAGCATTCATAAACAGTTGTTTAGCGGTAAAAAAGCTTTTTGCCATTTATATTTTGTAATAAAAAAAATCTGAAACAAATGTACATGAACTGTGTCAAGATCTATTAAATTGAGACACTGTAATAAAGGAAAATATTCTGCTTACTTGTCAGGGTAGGTTGATGTCATCTATCTGTCTTAATCTGTGGAGAAAACCTGCAGTTGCAAGGATATAAAGTAAAGAACCTGCTATACATGAGTTCTCACAAATATAGTTTCACCTCAGCAGAAATGTCGAAAGGAAGAAGAACATTACCAGCAACAGCACTCACAAATATTCCAAAACAAAATTATATAGTTACAGAACTGTATCACTGTATGCGATTCAATTGCTAAACTTGGGACCTATTGTATTCTTTGTGTAGCTGTGTCACTGTACATCCAGCACCAGAGCTTTTCCTCAACTAAGGCCAATTAATGGTTTAAGGGAATCGTAATGGAACAAATTCAAAGAGCTAAGTTATAAATTATAATTCAGTAGTTGATGTCAGAGGGAGTAATTTTATGAGAGATATTTTTGACACTTTGGCATTGTGGTGCAGTGCTGGTGCCCTGGGTTTGAATCTGGACCTGGTGTGCTCTCTGCAGGGAGTTTGTATGTTTTCTCTATGTTCATGGGGGTTTCAGTGAATGCTCTGGTTTCCTCCAACTGTCCAAGGACACAATGGTTGTTTAATTGGCTTCTGGTAAAATTGGATTTGGTGTGAGTGCGTTTTTGTGTCTGTATGTGCCCTGCAATGAAGTACAGCATATTGGCGTCCTGTGGAGGATGTGTCCATTGCTAGTATTTGATATACTGGAGTGGCAGTTACTGACATTACACAACATTTTTTTCAAACCCTGATATTTCTGCATTGTCTAAGGAGATTTAAAATTTAGTCAGTGGCTGTTCTTAAACCTTATTGGGGCTGACTTTTTAAGTCAAACAAAATAAAAGCATTACAGAATGAATTCAGCCAGTATCATTTTTTTCAGCCTTATTTTTATCACATTACCTAGTGGGGCTTGATAAAAAACCCATCGATTCGATTTGATTCAATTCAAGCTTTATTGTCCCAATTGGGGAAATTCGTTTTACACTGCACTTCCAACAAAGCAAGACAATGTCAGACAAACCAAGAAGTCAATGCAAAAGTGTAACAGCAAGATAAGGGAGAATATGGTTACAATAAATTGCTTGAAATAAATATTCCAGTGAGGATGAAACATTCCCTGTGTCTATTAGTATTACACCTGGAGACACAGAGGCATCTCCCAGACAGGAGAAGTGTGAACTCACAGTGGTGGGTATGACAGACAGAATCCATAATACAAATTGCTTTCTTTGACCCCTCTGTTTGTAGAGAATATTTAAGGTGATTTGATTTGCTCCAATTAATTTGACTGATTTCCCCAGCCTATTACAATCAAGGGTACTGACGTTATCAAACTAGGAACTGAGACAGTATATTAAGACACTTTCAATAAAAGACTTGTAGAAAAGTGTTAGGATGGTACTATATACCTTGAAATAGCTCAGTTTCCTTAGAAAAAAGGAGTCTCTTTTGTCCTTTTTTTAAAAAAATCGGCTCACAGCATTTGTTCCAACTCAACTGGTCAATGACCAGTCCCATATAATATGTAGTCATTGTCAACTTCTACAGTATGACCATTAATTACAGCACGTTGCCTTTTTCCTATAATCAAGGACCAGCTCCTTTGTTTTTAAAACATTTAACTGCAAAGAGCACTCATCAGACCATTTAGTAAAAGCATTTAGAATGGGTCCATGATTGTTATCTGCATCACTTAATAAGCTGACCAGGGCTGTGTCATCAGAAAACTTAATGAGATGTCTATTTGTGTGTTTTCTTTAGCAATCATCAGTGTTCATACTGTAATATACAGTATGAAAACATAGATCTGTGTTGATCTAGTGAACGTATAGTGAATGTCAGATAACCAATACAATTTGAACTTGAGTCCTATTTGTTAAAAGGTTTAGGACCCATCTTAAAACGTTGCTGTTCAGCTTGAAGTTCTCAGAGAGTTTCTGTGCAAGCAGTAATGGTTATATTGTATAGAGGAAAAGTCAACAAATAATATCCTTACAAATGACCTTGCTTGATCAAAATGCTGATAGACCAGATTTAACAATATGAGTATTGCATCATCTACTCCCCTCCACACTCTATATAGAAGCTGCAAGGGGTCAGTGAGGTCCTGTGTGTTCTTTGTAATGTATTGCTTTAAAATTCTCTCCAGACTTTTCATTGGGAGAGACATAAGAGCAACTGGCCTGTAGCTGTTAAGCTCAGTTGGCCTGGCTGTTTTTTTAATAGAGATGATGATGGATTTCTTCCACAGAGAAGGGCTGATTGGTAAATTTAAGGACATTTGAAAAAGCAAACTAAAATATCTCACAGCTGATTACCTGGACCTGCACTCTTTCTCATGTTAATTTTTCTAAACTGCTTACGCATCTCTGCTGAACCAATTTCAATAGACTCATCAGATCCTGGGGGATCAGCACTATAAGTTGGGGTGGTTGTGGGTTCCATTTCAAAATAGGTGTTTAAAGCAAGATCATTTACAAGTATCATGAAAAGGTTTTTTGCTATTATTTGTCTAGGTATATGTTTTAAATGACATTGATGTGTCCTATCTTGATGGATTTTGCATTTCACTTTAAAATTGATTGATATGTACTGTACCTTAGATCATATTTTTGATGCAGATATAGTTTCTTCACCTTTCCCTTGGGAAGAGTATGACATGCATTATTAAAGCAGATAAAAACAGCACTTTCAAATCTGACATCTGAGCATGCTATAACAGCACAAATCAAGGCAACAGAGGTTTGTCAATAAAAATAAAGGGTTAAAATGTGACCAGTACCATTTGTTGTGTTCCAATGCATCTCGGTGTATATTAGTGTCTATTGTTTTTTCTATAGTTTAAACTTGATTCCTAAAGTCCTTAAAATACTCTGAACAGTAAAACAGCAATGTGAGCACAGTGTTCATCCAAATCACAAAATAGAATTAACAATTGACAGAAATCATTAACAATACACCTCATTTCTGGGTTTTATACTAACACTAATACCTCACTGCCTCTGAACCTACCTGTAATACTCACACTGATCAATTTGAAGCAACTTGTAATCTTTTTTCAGTGTCCTTTTTAAATTTGAATGGATACATCAACCAAAAAGACTTACAGATCTCAGGAAACCTCAGCCTTCTTTACAATCACATACAATACAAAGTCCAATTGCACATTTCTCTTAACCTATCTCTTTTTCTGAAGGAATGACATTATTCATTCCTTGAATTTTGGAATAATTCAAGAGGAAATACCATGTTCAAGAAACGAAGTGCATTAAAAAATCTCTACCCATGGTCATTAATGAGAAAATCACAATTTCAGGGAGGTATTGATTCTCCTCCCGGACTACACACAATTAACTAGAGACCATTCCATCAGAGCTAAATTGAAATCAGTCTTCTTATAATTTGCTATCATATAAAAAGAAATGAGCCCACAAAACTTCAAAAGGAATGCAGTGTTAGTGAAGTGCGTTTTCTTCATGCTGGTTAAGATCATACTGGATGATTCACTATACTGTGTCACTGACTGCCCATCCGTCATTCAGAGTGTCTGATGTCATTTATTAAATATCCAACTCCCCAAGCTGTAAAGCTCCAGCTATTGTTAATGTCAGACTTACAAGATGAGCTATTAACTGCATGACTAATTTTACAGCTGTTGTTATTTGACACAAAGAATGTCTTTAATTAATCACATCATATAGCATGCATATATAACATATATAGCAACATATAATGATAACACAAAGCATTCTATGTATTAATAAGTACATAGCTTTTCCCTGTGCCATTTAGCTAAGAGCAATAGTTTTGTTTCTTCTTCTTTTGAAAGAAGCTTTACATAGTATGTTTACATATATACTGATGGAAAAAAGAAACACAACACCTCCTCTGGCCCTCCCGTCTGCATGGAACAGGCTGAAGAGTGACTCATCCTGAAGAGGACCTGTTGCCACTGCTGACGAGTCCATCATAGCCTCTGTCTGGCCAAAGCCAGTCGGGTGTGACGTCTAGGAGGTGTGAGCAGATGGCCTCTGACAGGTCGCCTTGCTCTAAGGCCAGCAGCATGGAGCCTTACTGTCCTGTCACTGATGCGGGCATTGTGTCTGCCGGCAGTTTCAGCAGCAGTATGGGTGGCAGATCTGAAATAATCTCTCAGATGGACCAGTCTGATGTGTCGGTCCTGCTCTGGTGTGGTCACTTGAGGGATCTTGGATGGTCATCTGTCCTGCCGGTCTGCTGAAGCCTTCTCTTGGGGCACATTGGAGCGGCTTACTCCATAGTGCCTGGCAATGATGCCACATGACATGCCTGCCCCCAGCATGCCAATGGCCCTCTCCCTTGCTTCTGGTGACATTCGAGGCATTATGGAATGCACAGAAAACTGACTGTGCAGAGTGGCCTTTTTTCTTGCAGTGACCTAAGCCTTGAATTAAGCCCTTTTTAAAGGTAACCTGATCAGGCATTGTTCCACCTTGGGTTAGTTCGTTGGGTAAAAGTGCACCTAATGAGCTTTCGTGTGATTGGCAAGTTGCAATGCCTCACTGCACAAGCTGTATTGCTGGTCAGAGGGCTTAAAACAAATTGACAACTTTTTGTGAAAGTACACAAGCTATAACTATAGTATTCTCATTCCAGAAAATATTGCATTTCTTTTTTCCATGAGTAAATGCAGAATTTATTTAATAAAATAGGGGCTGGATCCCCCATATACCATGACCAAAGCAGTTATTTGTATTTATAAATGATAAATTATTGTTTAAAAGCAATTTGATTAGATAGTAATATGAAAAAAATATGTTTCTTCAATATTTGGACAATTGCATATGAAAAGGGTGAAAAATATGACACTGGGCATCTTACTTGACCAATATTAGAAATAAAACTTCAAATGCACCAGATTGAGGATACTCAGATTGGACCTTCATGTCTGCTACTGTACATTGCCGGACTTTGATATATCCAGCTCCTAAGTTGATTCTTTGATCCTGTTAATCGGGAATTAAATAATTTCAGATCTGGATGCAGAAGAACTGTGTAATGTCTTAGAGTACAGGGTTTGCAAATTGAGACATAATGCGCTAGACTAAATTACTGTACATGCTTCATAGAAAGTACGTGAAAGTTCCCATCCCATCCCATTTTACTTTTTTATTCTGCAATAGAAATACACTACATTTGATTTCATGTATGTTCATTCCTTGCTCACTAGCAGCATCTTCTTGAATCCCATGTAACAAGTGAGGAGGTAATAGATGTAATCCATATGTAACCCATTGTCCTTTAAGCATGTTTAAGGGGCTTGAACTCAGTGAGATACTTAAGATTCCTCTTTGTTCTACCTTCTGTCCTCACTGGAAAGGGCCTGTAAAAAACAATATGACATTATGTTTTTGAACCTTTGGTCCCTTCAAAGCTTTTCTTATCTTCCCCTATTTAGGAAAATTCTATAAATATGAGAATGATGGTGTTTCTAAGAAACTTAAATATAAAATTTAATAGGTGGCAGAATACAACTCATTGTTTTAAAAAACATCCAACAGTAATAAGCGAATAAACCGAAAACATGATTTACTGTAAACAGAAATAAAAAGGCTTCTAAATTCTAAATCTTGGCTTTATTAATTATTAAATATAATTTTATATATGAACTTTTAGGGGCAGCACAGTGGTGCAGTTGTTGGCATTATCGCTTCACAGCACTGAGATCCTAGTTTCAGTTCCTGTGGTGCTATCTGTGTGGGCATAGTATATTCTCCCCATTCTCATGGGGGTTTCTGTTGAGT